CACATATTTTACAAAGTGTATTTCCCCCTTTAGTTACATTGCAGCAGGAGGTGGGATACCTCCTTGACCATGTGCAGAAGTGTTTGATGGACTGTGTAAGCTGGTCTCCTTGTACACAAACCAAGCATTTCCTCCCCAAAGTATCATATTCAGAAATCCAAAGATCACAGAGACATTTAGGGATCCCATACTGGTGACAGAGTCAAAATAACAGGTCACTCCTGGATGCTTACTGCAAGGCTCAAGTTCTGGAATAATTTTGGGACTGGTAGCTACTTTAATATCTGTAAGAGTTTTAGCCCAGGCTGAAGTGCTCACCAACCACAAAAAAGTGACAACAAGAGTAATAATAAAGTCAATCATGGGAAGTTTTCGAATATCTCGATACAGGTTCGTGTAACCAACGTAAAGCAGAAGAGCAGCAATGCAGTACAGGAAGACAAAGACTGCAAAGGTGACATAGAATTGTGCAGAGGAAGAGTAATCACCGATCAGAACATATTCATTCCACTTGATATCACATACATTTACTTCTGGAGCTGCCTGAAAAGATGCCTGATTCAACCTGAATGGGTAACCAAAATTAGCTGTAACAGTTTTATTGTCAGCAGCTTTAGGACAATGCACTAAAATTTCTGTTTTGCCCTTAAAACCTCCACAGGTGGCAAAAGCAAAGATGGAAGCAACCTACGTAGTGAGAGAAAAGGAAAGGAGAAGCGTTACTGCACCCACAACCACGTGGTCTACTAAAAACTGGCTCACTGACATTCTAGAAATTCCTTATCACAAGTTAAATCTAGATAATGAAAGACACTTCCAAATGGATTTACAGCTCTCAACAAATGTGATTTTATTTTCCCAAGTATAACAAAATTTAATACACCAGTCTAATAATGCATTTACTCATGTTCCAGTATACTAAGTATTAGTCTGAAATTCAGAAGAAAACAACAACAAAAAGACAAACAGCGCAATCCAAAATCGGACAAAGGACTTAAATAGACATGTCATTAAAGAAGATATTCCAACAGTCAACAACCACAGGAAAAGATTCTCAATGTCGTTAACACACAGCTGTAAATCAAAACTACAATGAAGTATCATCTCATCCCTATTAGAACGGCAATGATGAAAACAAAACAAAACTAAAAAAGTAAAACAATAGGTGCTGACAAGGTGAAGAAACTGGAATTCTCATCCGCTGCCGCCGAGGGAATGGAAAATGGTATAGCTATGTGGAAAAAACTGGCAGTTCCTCAAAAAGGGGAACAAAGAACTACCGTATGACCCAGAAGTGAAGGCTCGAATGCAGACAGAAAACCGTATACCGTATCTCAATGTTCACCACACACTTCTCTTAACAGCCAAAATGTAGAAATCCAAATGTCTAACAATAGATGAATGGATAAACAAAATGTGGTATATGTACATAATAGAATACTATTCCGCTATAAAGAGAAATGAAGTCTGATGAATACCGTAACATGGATGAACCCTGAAAACAAGCTGGTCAAAATGTTAGTTGCAAAAGGACAAATGTATGATTTCACTTATACGAAATAAGCAAATTTTTAGAAACTAAAGATTATTAATGGTTATTAGGTGTAGAGAAGAGGAGGAAAGGGAGAATTATTGCTTAAGGGGCACTGAGTTTATGTTAATGGTGGCAGAATGATTTGGAAAAGGATAGCCAGAATGGTTGTACAACTTAACAAATGTAATCAATTCACTGACTTGTACATGTGTAAGTTGCTAAGATGACATGTTTCACAATGCATATTTTCACAATTAAAAAAAAAATCAAAAGGGGTGTCTGGAGTACTTTTATCTGAAAACCAAGACTGCCTACTCTTGGGTTTCAGATAAAAGTATCAAAGACCTATAAAGAGGTTGTAAGCAGTGAAGAGATGCTACACCTTCAGGAAACTGGAAGGGCTTACTTATGGGTATACTTCCAGGTCATGAAAAAGTAGTTGAATATGTGTTTTCCTGATCATGAATACGCTTTTAAAAATGTAATGTAATGAAACTATTTCAAGTGCTGTCTAGAATAGAAAAAAAAAAATCAAAAAAACTGGAAGCATCTTAAATGTGATAAGGAAGCAACAAAACTGTAATTCATTCATATAATAAAACATTATTCAGCCATTAAAATGTTGGAAATATATGCTGATGTAGAAAAATGTGCATTACATATAAAGTATGCTTAAACAATGCATTGCTCATGTGTCTAAATTTATGTACACAAGCAAAAAAAAAAAAAAAAAAAACTACAAACGTTATACACCAAAATTTTAACAGTGGTCACGTCAATGATAACTTTTTTCTATTTATAACCTTCAAAATTTTCTGCAAAGTAAACAAAGAGAAGCTAGATATGTGTAGTGACCAATAGTTCAGCCCTTCAGCAAATCCTGATGACTCTATTTTTAAAATACATTTGGAATCTGACCACTTCTGCACACCATCACCCCTTGCCTGGATTACACATCAGTACTCTACTAACTGGTCCTACTTCTTCTATACTTGCTCCCACTTCAGTCTATTGTTAATGCAACAGCCAGGGTAATCTTTTAAAAAATATAAGACAGAAAACACGAACCGCCTAAAATCCTCCAATGGCTTCTGAGCTCTCTCTGAACAAAAGACTTAGTGTGAACTTTTTCTCACTAAGCCTACAAGGTCTTCTCGCTGAGTATTTCTGACCTCATGTTGCTCTTTTTCTCTGGCCTAATATGCTCTACACAAAATGGACTCCTTGTTATCCCTTCAATACACCAGATAAGCTCCTACCTCAGGGTGTTGGCACTTGGTATTCCCTCTGCCTAGAAAATGTGGTTCCCTCCCCTCCCACACTCAGCTCCACGTTTCAATGAAACCTTATCAGAAAGGCCTTTTCCTGACTAAATTATGTAAGTATAGCAGTGCTCCTCCCATCTTGTACTAGTTATTCACTTTACTTATGCTGCTCTGCTCTCTTTTTCCTCCAGAGTCTCTGGGTAGCACAAATGGTTAGCACACTCAGCTGCTAACCAAAATGTTGGAAGTTTGAGTTCACTCAGAGATGTCCCGGAAGAAAGGCCTGGTGATCTACTTCTGAAAAAAATCAGCTACTGAAAACTCTATGGAGCATAGTTCTACTCTATACATATGAGGTCACTGTGAGCTGGAGTTGGGTTGAAGGTAATTGATTTTAGTTATACTTCCTTCACTGTAAAAACCACTGCCTGACACAGTACTTAATGGTTTGTCTGCCTGTCTTCCTTCACTAGAATATAAACTCCAAAAGCTCTGGGACGTCACACACACACACACACACACCTAGCTCTAAAACCCAAACCCACGGTCGTTGAGTCCACTCCAATTCATAGCAACCCTACAGGACAAAGTAGAACTGCCAACATAGGGTTTCCAAAACTGTCAGTCTTCACAGAAGCAGACTGCCTCATCTTTCACTCGCAGAATGGTTGGTAGGTTAGAATTGATGAACATTTGGCTAGCAGCCAAATGCTTTAACTACTGCACCACCAGAGCTCCTTGACACCCATTTGCTGTTGTTGTTAGGTGCCTCTGAATCGGCCCTGACTCACAGTGGCCCCATGCACAACAGAACGAAGCACTGCCCAGTCCTGAGCCAGCCTCACACTCCTTGCTATACCTGAGCCCATCGTTGCAGCCACTGTGTTAATCCATCTTGTTGAGGGCCTTCCCCTTTTTTGTTGGGTAACTTTTTTGTTGATTTTACCAAGCATGATATCCTTCCCCAGGGAATAGTCTCTCCCTGACAACACAACCAAAGTAGGTGAGCCCAAGGCTGGCCATTCTTGCTTCCAAGGAGCATTCTGGCTGGACTTCTTCCAGGCCAGATCTGCTGGTTCTTCTGGCAGTCTATGGTACATTCCTTACTCTTCACCAACACCACAACTGAAAAGCAAAACTCTGCCCGCTGATCACTGACATAATGCTTCCCATGAATTACTCTAGGGTTTTGAATCTCATAGGAAAAAACCAGGATACTAATAACTCTGTAAGGATTTTTATTTTTTCCATGAGGAAGAGATACATGAAAAGGAATCTGGTTTCAGATATGAAGAGTCTGAGGTAACGTCTAGCATGAAGTTTGGAGAGTTCTGTTAAGAGGTAACAGGTGAAGATAGACAAATAGATAGTCTCTCAGAGACAGAATGAATATGGATGAATACACTAGTGAAAAGAGGTCAGGCAATTAGTCTTGGGCATACTCCCACATGGAGGGTTAGGTAAAAGAAAGATATACTAATTGAACCAATGAAACAGAATACAGAGGACAAAAACAGAGTAATGTATACAAAAAAAATTATACTTAACAGAGTTGGTATTACAGATCATTGAGAAAAAGACAGCAGTTTTTAAAGATATGTCCATACATTCTTTGATACTCATCCCCTCAAGAGGTGGAGCTTAATTTCCTTCCCTTGGAGTGTGGACTAGACTTATGGTAGTGATTTCCTTCTAGCAAAAATAATTTTGTGGAAGTAATGGGGTGCCATTTTTGAGGGTGTTGTTGTTGTTATGTGCCATTGAGTCGGACTTGACTGATAACGACCCCTCCTTGGGTGTCTGAGGTGGTATCACCCGAAGTAGATTGCCCAACTTTCCTTCGAGGAGTGGCTGGTGGGTATGAACCACCAGCCAAATTGCAATATGTGTCTTCCCCTTTTAATCTGTTGAATCACTTGATCTGGGGGAAATTGCCACTTTAGGAGAATACTTAGGCAAATGACAAAGACTCAGTTGGTGAGGAACTGAGGATTGCTAGCAACCATATGAGTGAGCTAGGAGGCAGATACTCCCCTGGCTGAGCCCTTGAGTTGAATGTAACTCAACCAGCCAAACAGCTTGCTTGCAACCTCAGGAGAGACCTGAGGCAGGCCACTCAGCTAAGCTGCTGAGAAACTGTGAGGTAATAAATTGTTTTAACTACTAAGCTTGGGGTAATCTGTTACACTAGATAATATAAGGAAAGACTTAGAAGGAACATGATTAAAAAACTGGTAACAAGGAGGTATGGCGAAGAGGCATATGGGTGGATCTCTCTGAATGGGCCAAAGTGAAGATATTTTGTTTCATGTGAATGCTCACCAAAGGATGACCTCGGCAGAGGAGGATTTTAGTAATCAAGTGGATAGAATGACATGCTTATGGAAACAAGTCACTCTCTTTTCCCAGCCACTTCTGTCATTACCCAACAGGCTCTTGCATTCATCAAGGCTGATGTGAGTGACCAATATGCCAGCAGCAGAGACCAACAATGAGTCCTCAATATGGCACCACTCCTCATGGCAATCAGCCAACAACCTGGTGGCAGGTTGACTACACCAGACCACTTCCATCATGAAAAGAGCAGTATCTGGGTCTAAATGGGATAGACAATTCCTCTGGATATGGACTTGCCTTCCCTGAATGCAAAACTACCATCTGTAGACTTACAAAATGCCTTATCCACAGCATTGCCTTTGATCAAGAAATTCACTTCATAGCAAATAAAGTGCAGCAAAGGGCCTATGCTCATGGAATTCACTGGTCTTATCATGCTTCCCATAATCCTGAAGCAGCTAACTTGGCAGAATGGTAAAATGGCCTTCTGAAAACACAACTACGGTGCCAGCTAGGAGATAATACTTGTATGGTTGGGGCAATGTTCTCCA